ACACAAGCTAGGAAGTCCTCCGTAAAGGACCACCGTAATGGGCCAAACTAGGACGTCCACCATAATGGACACACAAGCTAGGAAGTCCTCCGTGAAGGACAAGCGCGAGACCATCAGGATCGCCACACTTAACATCGGCACCCTGACCGGCCCTTCTGCCGAACTGACGGACATGCTGATGGAAAGGAACATCGGCGCGCTTCAAGAAACGAAATGGGCTGGCGCTAAGATCGGAGGATTCAACTTGTACAGCGATCCGAAGTCAGCGGTATCGCCATTGCAGTGTCACAGAGGCTAGAGCATGCAGTTCAAGATGTACAACGGGTTTCCGACCGCATCATGAGAATAACTGTGATTTTCGGCAAAAGGGCCACCCACATTATATGCATCTACTATACTATGCACGTGCTATAGTGGGGGACGTGCGACCCAAATCGACTACATTTTGACACGGAGGAGCCAACGAAGCAACGTGCTAGACTGCAAGGTGATCCCATCGGTAACGGTCAACAGTCAACATCGTCCAGTCATTGCGACCATTAAGATGCCGGCCAACTCATCTGCCTTCAAGCAGCCGAGAATCATCAGAAGGCTTTTGAGGTGGAACAGGATTGCTACGCTGAGACCAACTGTCAATGACCACTTATCGATGAAGATCCATCAGGCCACGTTTGAAGACGTTGAGAATGACTGGAAAAAACTTCAGTTCGCGTCTTGCCGCGTGCGGCGGCGTAAGTGCCCTGCTACCCCTAATTGGAATCGCTCGTATCGCTTAATACTACTATTCTCTACTCGAATTCACCTATTCAGTGGTCGCCCTTGTGGCTGGGGCTCGCTTTACTTCTCTGATATTACTCGTAGCCACCAGAAAAGGTCTATTTTTTCCTGTTACTTTTTATTGCCGTCTTTCGCCGATCGATCGACAACTGAGTTGCGCTTTGATCCCGATATCCGCTAGTCGCGATCGATTTCTCTTTGTTGGCAAGGCTTCTAGTGGCAGGAGCCGCTCTTTCTCCATAACTGCCACCTTATTAGGTCCTCACCGCTTACGTATAATCATGAACACCCCCTTGTTGGATCTACTGTTCAGGGAACCAAGAGAACGCGAATAAATGTGGACTCCTCGCCGTTGGATAGCTGTGTCGATGATCATGGGCTGCGGGATGCGATCAATTTGATGAATTCGGACCCGGCCGTTCCCGCTCATCTTAAGAGGACACTTGCTTGATAAGATTATGCAGAAGGATCGTGAGTTAGATTACTTGAGGAAAAGGGACTTAATGCTTGTAGCTGAAAATGACAAGCTGAAAAATGAAATAGCCTCCTTGAAAGGTAGTCCTTGCTGTTCCTAATTCTAGTATTCTTTCTCAATCTTGTAATCCTTCACTTCAACCTATTGATTCGAATGCTAATAAGGTTTTTGATCCTCATGAAGAATGTGAGCGTGCCAGATCAGTCGTAGTAAGTGGCGTTGCTGAGTCCATTGATACTGAATGTTATCCATCGTCTAAACTACGATATTGATTGTGTGAAGAAATTGTTCTGCTCTTCTTGATATAATGTATGCCCGTGACTTGTTATAGAATGGGACGTCCCCGTCATGGCGTTCCTCGTTTACTCAAGATTGTTCTTCCTGCTAGGAAATTCCAGTCATTACTACTTAAGCGGGCGCCACGGCTTCGCTTCTTCCCAGTTAAAGGTGTCTTTATCAGGCCTTCTTTGACGTGGGAAGAGCGAGTCCAGCGGCGGGCCAACATAACTTCTCCTCACCAAAGTGCTCCTCCAAAAGAAGTGTCAGCTCACAATGTTTCATTGCAAAGTTCATCCAGTCATCATAGTGCCGCCGATCCCCCATGTCCTATGCAAATGTTCCAGTGCGTGCGTCGGGAAACAGTTAAAGCCTCCCCGGAAGAAGAGGGGCGTCCGAACTCTATCTTTCACCTTAGCGAATGTCCGATCACTACTAAAAAATGCAGCTGCTGTAAAGTTTCATCTTATCAGGTCTTCCTTTTCTATAGCGGCAATCACCGAGACGTGGCTTAAACAATCTAATGACATCACCCCACTGCTGGGCGCTGGGGCTTATAATATCATCAGATGCGATCGCACGCGTAGGAAGGGTGGCCGGGTAGCAATATTGTTGTCTAAGGAATTACAATACACTGCTGTTTTCTCTGAGTCAGTTCCCAACTCATATGAAATTCTTGCTTGTGATTTAATTCCTTTAGGTTCTCCTCCCGTCAGATTGATTTTAGTATATCGTAGTCCTAGTTGTCTTGGAGAGCCTTTCAGCAAACTGCTCAAATGTATAGGTGACCTCTCTGCTTGCGAGTACTCTTGCGCTCTTGTGGGCGATTTCAACTTGCCTGACATTGAGTGGGCCTCCAACCCGACCTGTTCCTCTACCATGTCCAAGTCTTTTCTTGACTTATGCTCTAACTACGGTTACCTACAACTAGTAAAGAGCCCCACTCGCCAAGGAAACATTTTAGACCTTATCCTATGCAATGATCACAGTCTTATATCGGATGTAGCCATACACGCACCTATCGGAACTAGTGATCATTGTTCTTTGAGTGCTGCACTACAAAGTCGGCATGTCCGTCGCTCGCTCACTTATTGCCTAGATTATAGGAAGTACTGACTTTGATTCCGTTTTTTCGTTTCTTAGTGACATTGATTGGATAGGCTCTCTCTCCACCGTTGACACGGTCAATGATAAATATGAGATGCTCCTCGAAATTATTAATCAATCTCTACTGCTGTTTACGCCTGTTCGTAAAATTTCACCGTCCAACTTAATGCTTCCTCAATACCTGGTTTCATTAGATCGACGCCGCGCTAGAGCTTGGAGGTCTGCCACCACAACGGGTAACCCTCAGAACTGGGCATCATATAAGGCATGTAATGATAGGTTTATCAAGCGGTTAAACAAATACAGGTTCGCCATAGTTGACGATGATGTTGGGGTTTCCAGAACTAGTCAGGCAATCAATGCTATGTATAATTGGTCTGAGGATTGGAGGCTCCCTCTCTGCCCGGGGAAGACTAAAGTGTTGCACATCGGTCCTAATAATGGGCGGTTTCAATATAGTCTAAATGGTATCCAGCTCCAGCCAGTATCGGCAACGGTAGACCTCGGCTTTCATGTCAATGAAAAACTTGATTTCTCTAAACACTTGTGATATTGTTGCAAACGCTGGTCAGCGTAGACTTTATAATCTGTTCAAAGCCCTTTCCTCCACTAATCCCCACACACTGCTTGCCGCTTACAAAACTTATGTTAGGCCTATTTTGGAGTACGGAACTACTGTGTTCAACCCGTCTAAGCGCCTCTCCATTAAAAGACTTGAGGCAGTTCAGAACAGCTTTACGCGCAAGCTATTTCTTCGTTGTCTTGGCTTTTCCTACTTAGCAGTGCCGGACTCGTCTTCTCGTAACAAGCTTCTCGGCTTGAAAACTCTTTCACTAAGGAGGAAAGTCAATGACATCGTAATGATCAACAAAATCCGCAACGGTCAAGTAAAGGTTCGGTGCAGCGATTTTTCCAACTAACGCCGTCTAATACCAGGGGAAGTATGATGAAATTAAATTTTGCGGCAGCTCGCAGCGGACCTAGACGTCATTTCTTCGTTAATAGAGCTGGTCCTATTTACATTCGCTTGGGCGCTCCCAATCTCATCCAGTATGCTTAAGTCTTATCTTAAATGCATACTTAAATGACGATGTAACTGTTTCCCCGCGCTCGTTATAGACCCAATTCAATCTATGTATCATTCACTTGTTCCAGCTATCGATATGTAATTCCCTTCTTTTGTGCAGACCATCTTCGGTTGTTCTCTATACTGTTCGTCCCTTTGAATTTTTTTGTTATTCTGTTGTTGCTGCTGTTTTAACGTCGCCCCTGTTGGCGACTTACATGCTCAGTCATGTAATAAACTGAACCTGAATCTTGTCGGTGAATTTCGAGATACTGCGCTTCCCACTGGCTATAAGAAAGGATTTAAGCGTGCACCGGACTGACGGGCCTGGTTTTGGAACGAAGATGTCTCAGCCGCGGTCAAGGCAAAGAAAGACGCGTACAAAGCTTGGT